GCGGGCCCCCCGTCCCCCAGGGGAAGGGGCTTTGGGTTCCGGGCCGGGCGGGGGGCGGGAGACCCCGGTGCCCCCTGCTTCCCGATCCCTGCTGGGAAGGAGGGGCCTGGGCCGCGGGCGGCGGCGCGGGCTTCCCCATGGGCGCCACTCGACTGGCTGCGCTCTGCTCCGAAGCCTTCACCTTCTTGGCCTTGGGAGGCAGCGGCCCCTTCCCTCCGCCCGCCACTTCCTGAGCCTGAGGAGTAGGGCTGCAGGGTGTGTGTGTGTGTGTGTGTGTGTATGTGTGTGTGCGGGTGTGTGCATGTGCGGGTGTGTGCGCGCGTGTGCGTGTATGTGTGGGTGTGCGGGCGTGTGCATGTGCATGTATGCGGATGTGCCTGTGTGTGTGTGAGCGTATGTGTGCGCGTGTGTGCGTGTGTACGTGCGTGTGCGTGCACGTGTGTATGCACGTGTGAGGGTATGTGTGCGCGTGTGCATGTGTACGGGTGTGTGTGCATGTGTGTGCGCGCATGTGTGTGAGTGTACGTGCGTGTGCGTGCACGTGTGTATGCATGTGTGTGAGGGTATGTGTGCGCTTGTGCATGTGTACGGGTGTGTGTGCATGTGTGTGCACGTGTGTGCGCGCATGTGTGTGAGTGTGTGCGCATGTGCATGTGTGTGTGCGCGTGTGTGCGTGTGTATGTGGGTGTGCGGGCATGTGCATGTATGCGGATGTGCCTGTGTGTGAGCGTATTGTGCGCGTGTGTGCATGTGTACGTGCGTGTGCGCGTGTGTGTGAGTGTGCGTGCACGTGTGTGCGTGCGCATGTGTGTGTGAGTATGTGTGCCCGCGTGCATATGTATGGGTGCGTGTGCACGTGCGTGCGTGCGCTTGTGTGTGCGCGCGCGTCTGTGTGCGCGTCTGCCATCTTGTCATTTACATCCTTGCTCTTGGGAATGTGGACTTGGCCCCTTCCTGTCCCACGCCCGCCGTCCGCTGTCCACTGTCCGCCGTCGGCTGTCTGATGCCCGCCGTCCGCTGTCCGCCGTCCGCTGTCCACTGTCCGCTATCAGCTGTCTGATGCCTGCCGTCCACTGTCCACCGTCCGCTGTCCGCCGTCCGGCCCCCTCCCGTCCCACGCCCGCCGTCCTCCGCCCGCTGTCCGGCTGTCCGCTGTCGCCCATGGCTCTCCCGCGTGGATGGAGAGAAGGGAGTTCTCAGCGCTGGAGCCCAGCGCTCCGCTGCTGCTCTGCCAGGAGCGGGGATCAGGCCGGGCTGGACGGGGCTCGAGTCAGCCAGGCTGCCTTGGCGGCCTCCTGAAGACGGCGGCCGGGTCCAGCCCGGTCCCAGCCGGGCCCAGTCCCAGCCCAGCCCTGTCCCAGTCCCAGCCCAGCCCTGTCCCAGTCCGGCCCGGTCCCAGTCTGGCCCTGTCCCAGTCCGGCCCGGTCCCAGCCCAGCCCTGTCCCAGTCCGGCCCAGTCCCAGTCTGGCCCTGTCCCAGTCCGGCCCGGTCCCAGTCCCGGCACACGATCCCATCCCCAGATAGACTTGGGGCGCACTGGTGACACAGCCTGCCTCGCGGTCGTGCCAAGCCGCTGCACCCGGCGGTGGTAGTGCTCTCTGGCTCTCGGAGACGGCCTCCCCATCCAAATCCGACCCACAACCTGGGGCTTCAAGCCAGGCCGAGTGGGATCGTGGGACTACTGGCCATTTGGGTTATTGATCACAAGGAGTTTTTGCTCCTGTAATTCCCAACCCGAATTTGGGTCATTTACTCTACAAACTGAACTCCACTGTGTGTGTGTGTGTGTGTGCGCGCGCGCGCCAAGTTTAAAATCTGGTTGAATGTTCCAGTCCTTCCTGATTCTGTCTGTGGCAGTAACCAGGAGCTAATTACCACTAAGGTCCTGAGAGTAGTGGTGGTTGACGCAGAAGCGGACATAAGATTTGCATTTTCAGGGCTTCTCCAGGGTTATTCTTTAATACCCGGTTGAAAGGTGGAGGGCTGTGAATTGAAAGTCAAGTCTGAAGATGTGGTTTCTTTATTTTCTGGGTGAAACGTTTGGCAAGCAGTGTTTTCCTTCACAGCCTGATGGAGGTTTAAAAGCTGTCCATTCTTTTGGCTCGATCGTGTTTGGTTCTTGTGGAAGTTTCTAAGGTGGGGAGGTGGGAAGGCGGGGTATCTATCTATCAGTACGGTGGCACATTTATTTTCTTCTCCAGCCTGAGATTAAGAGAAAGGGTAATCAAAATCCTGCAGCTACCTTCCCTACTTCCTTAGGCTTCCTGTCCTTTCAGTACTTTGGACAGAAAAAATAACAAGCAAGTTGTGACACATAGGAAAAAGAGGGTACAAAGTCAGGGCTTTGCTGTGCACCATTATTCTATGGACATCTGGAGACTAAGCAGGTCTACAGGAAAATATCTAACCTCTCTCTAGGGCCTGTTGTTCTTGTGTCTTCTTTTATTTCATTGCAAGATATAAGTAAGGGAGTCTGTTGATCTCTCTGTACGTTCCATTATTTCGAGATCTTTATTCAGAAAAACAAGCAATTTCTGAAAGAATAAAAATGTGTAAGTATTGCACACCAAATATATGAAGAGACTTGAGAAGTTAGACACTCAATTTCTACTTGATGTTTTGGAATTTTCATTGACTACCAGAGCCTATTCTAGTAAAAAAAAAAAAATCTCAGCATTGAAAGTAAAATGTACCAAAGATAAGTGATGCAGTGTTATTGCTGATCACGTTGGGATCGTATTGACTATCATAGGTTTCAACTTGGAAATGCATAATCTCTGACTGGACCCCAAAGCCCTAGCTATTAATAGATTATGAATGGGAGTTATTTGGAGAACAGTGTATTTACAGGGCATGCTTAACCTCTGACACCTTGCAGCTGTCCAGCATTTATCTTTTCTGGATAATGCTTCCTATGTGACTGAACATGCCTTTCATGTGTCTCTGAAGAAGAGAACAACTGAAAATTTGTACACTGCAAAGCTTATTGCTGTGAGAAGTAACAAATTATAAGAATCAGTGACTTAGAAATGTACAATTGATTTATCAATGGTCACATTTAATACTGTGGCATTTATAATGGCATTTAGTTTTACTTCAAGTCTAACAGCTTATATCACATGTAATATAATTCTAATAAGAAATTATAATTATATGATGGCTGTTGCTTTGCTTTTAAACCTCATGTAAATTAAGCCATAATATAAAATAGGAATGAGCTCTTATTATTTTAAAATGGAAATTAAAAATAAATGGTTATAACTGGATTAATATGTCCATCAATATATAGTATTTTTCTCAATCCTATTAAAGTTCACCTTTTAATTTTTTCCTTACCTTTGCATAAATTTCTGCACCAACACTATTGGATATTATTTAAAGTTAATTTAATATTACTTTATAACCTTTGAATTATAGTTACTCATCTGAATTCAGACATGACGGTAGATATGAACATTGCGAACATTGCAGTAGTTATTAGAAACATGATAATAATGAGAAACATAATAATAACAAAACAGCACCATACATAGCAAGAAAAGTTGTAATTACAAATGCCTTAGTAGTTATTGAGTTAGAATTATTTAACAAGTTATATTTGAATTGTCTACTGGCAGAAGAGAAATATGATTTTCAGAAAAGATAAGGGCAGTCGTGTTCTACCCCTTATAATTGAGTAAAGCTTCACATAGTGAGTTTTCAGATATGTAAAGTACTTGCTTTTCATGATATAATGTGAAATAAATATATAATATATTCCTATAGTCCATTCTCCCTTCTCCTACTAAGATTAATATGTCATTTATGGTGTCATTGGACTCAAAAGTTTATTTGGGGGATACATTTATTCTGTGTTTAATAAGGCATTTAAACTTAAAAAGCATTACTGCTGTTACTGGCCAATTTAATATGGGGTTAGCTGAAAATCATTCAATATGCAACCATTTTCATATGCTTAGTGATGTAGTACTCCTCTGGTTTAAAAAAAGTAAAATTTTTTT